GTATGTTAACAGAACATAGTGCAATTAAGATGGAGATCAATAGCATAAGAAACTGTAAGAAGTTCACAAACACATGGAAATTGAACAACACTCTCCTGAACAATCAACGGGTCACAGAGGAAATGAAAGAAGAAATTAGTCAGTTTTTACAAATAAATGATAATGCCAATATAACATGCAGGAATCTATGGGACACAATGAAAGCAGTTCTACGTGGAAAATTCATAGCAGTGAATACCCACACTGGGAAAACAGAGCAAGCTCAAATGAACAACCTAATGATGAATCTTAGATTCATAGGAAACAAGATCAAGAAAAACCCAAATCTCATACGAGAGGAAATCATAAAAATTAGAGCAGAAATCAATGCAATAGAAACTAAGAAAATGATACAAAGAAAAAAAAAATCAATGAATCAGAGTTGGCTTTTTTCTCATTGAGTTTATTGGTATATTTTAGGTATACAGTACAGTCACATTCATCAATGGGATCTTGTACCTTTACACGACTGGTCTTGGTTTTTTTGAAAGAATAAATAAAATTGATAAACCCTTAGCTAACCTTGTCAGAAAAAGCAAAGAAAAGGCTCAGATCCATGCAATTAGGAACAAAAAAGGTGAAGACATAACAGATCCAGCAGAAATCCGGAGGATCATCAAAACCTACTTTGAAAACCTGTACTCTAATAAAATGGAAAACACAGAAGAAATGAACAGATTTCTTGATACTTATGAATTACCAAAGTTGAAAGAAGAAGATAAAAAATTCTAAACACCCCAATTATAATCAGTAAAATTAAAAACGTAATTAAAAGTTTACCAATGAAGAAAAGCCCAGGTCCTGATGGATTCACTGCTGAATTCTGCAAGACATTTACAGAAGAACTACTGTCACTACTCTTTAAACTGTTCAATGAAATTGAAGGTAAGCAATACTTCCAAATTCATTCCTGGAAGCAAGTGTCACTTTGATCCCCAAACCAGAGAAAGACCCTACCTAAAAAGAGAACTACAGGCAAATATCCTTAACAAACATAGATGCAAAAAGCCTCAATAAGATACTGGCAAACAGAATACTGAGAGTCATCAAGAAGATCACATACCCTAACCAAGCCAGATTTATTCCAGGGATGCAAGGATGGGTTAACATACATAAATCAATAAATGTAATACACAATATTAACAGAGTCAAGGACAAAAACCATATGATCCTCTCAATAGATACAGAAAATCATTTGACAAATTTCAACATTCCTTCATGATAAAAACCTTGCAGAAAATTGGAATAGATGGTCTTTATCTCAACTTGATAAAGGCTATCTATGAAAACCCAACAGCCAACATCATACTAAATAGCCAAAAACTGAAAACCTTCACGTTAAAATCAGGAACAAGACAAGGATGCCCACTATCACCACTCCTCTTCAATATAGTTCTGGAAACATTAGCTTACAGAAATTAGACAAGAGAAAGAAATTAAAGCAATAAAGATAGGAAAGGAAGAAGTTAAACAGTCATTATTTCCTGATGAGATGATACTCTACATAGAAGACCCAAAAAACTCTACCAAAAGGCTTCTAGAAAACACTTTCAGCAGAGTAGCTGGATACAAGGTCAACGCTCAAAAATCAATAGAATTCTTGTATACAAATAACAGACTCACTGAGAGAGAAATTAGGGAACAATTCCTTTCACAATAGCATCCAAAAAAATGAAGTATCTAGGAATCAATCTAACAAAGGAAGCAAAAGACCTCTACACTGAAAACTACAGCACTCTGAAAAAAGAGATCGAAGAGGATATAAGAAAATGTAAAGATATCCCCTGCTCCTGAGTAGGAAGAATTAACCTAGTGAAAGTGGCCATACTACCAAAACTGCTATACAGATTCAATGCAATGACGATTGAAATTCCAACAGCATGTTTCACAGAACTAGAAAAAAGAATCCAAAAATACATTTGGAACCATAAAAGACCTAGAATAGCAAAAGCAATCCCAGGCAACAGAGACATGGAAGGGGGGATCACAATCCCCAACCTGAAACTATACTACAAAGCCACTGTGATAAAAACAGCATTGTACAGGCATAGAAAAAGACCTGAGGATCTGTGGAATAGATTAGAAGATACAGAAGCAACTCCACATTACTCAGCTTCCTCATCTTTGACAAAGGATCCAACTATCCTCAGTAGAGGAAAGTTAGCCGCTTTAATAAACGGTGTTGGAAAAACTGGCTTTCAACTTGCCAAAGATTAAAACTAGCCCAGTATATTCTACCATTCACTAAACTAAAATCCAAGTGAATTAAAGACCTAAATATTTAAAAACAAACACTAATCTTGCTAGAAAATAAGTTAGGAAGAACTCTCGAAGACACTGACATAGGAAAAGACTTGATGAACAAATCCTCAGTAGCTTGGGATCCAGCACGAAGAATCAACAACTGGGATCTCATCTTACTAAACAGCTTCTGTGCTGCAAAAGAAACCACCAACAGAGCTAAGAGACAATCTACAAAGTGGGAATAAGTTTTTACCAGCTGCTCCTCAGACAAAGGTTGATTATCTAGAATATATAAAGAACTGAAAACAAAATCAGGCCCCTCATATAAATATAAATACCGGATTCAAAAATGGGCATCTGAACTGAACACACATTTCTCAAAGAAGTAAAAGCATCAAATAAATATATGAAAAAATGTTCAGCATCACTGGTCATCTGAGAGATGCAGATAAAAACAACACTGAGATTCCACCCCACCCCACAAAGAATGGCTGCTACCAAGAAATCAACCAATAACAAATGTCAGCAGGCCTGCAGGGAAAAAGGGACCCTTCTCCATTTTTGGTGGGAGTGCAGACTGGTGCAACCACTATGGAAATCAATATGGAGATACCTCAGAGACCTAGGACAAGAGGTTCCATTTGACCCAGCTATCCCTCTGCTGGGTATCTTTCCAAAACAATTGAAAAAATCATACCACATGATCTATGCGCACCTATGTTTATAGCGGCACAGTTTGTAATAGCTAAAACTTGGAAACAGCCCAATCGCCCACCAGTTGCAGATTGGATAAAGAAGATGTGGTTTTTGTATAAAATGGAGAACTATTCAGCCATAAAGAATGAGAAACTAGAGTTATTCATAGGAAAATGGATGCATATTGATGCCATACTCTTAAGTGAAATAAGTAAGACACACGTGTAAATAGAGAATAGTTTCTCTGGTGTGAAAAACTAAAACTGTAAACAAGCTCCAAATTATATAACTGACAATATGAAATGCAAAGAAAAGGGATGAAGGTGTGGGCGAAGGGGGAAGGGTAGGAGAAGGTAAATACAGGTAGCTGGGGGAAAATGAGAATCAAGACCTGTCATGTAAAGATACAAGAGCCCAATGATGAATGTGACTGCCCTGTATACTTAGAGAGTACCAATAAACTCAATGAGAAAAAATAATCACTCTGAAGAGATAACACACTCGGAGCCCTGTTCCTGTCACTCCAGATGCTGGCAGGCCAACACACAGCTATAGCCTGAAGACCTCAACCCATAACCCACTGCCGTGCTTTCCAGACTTGGTCTTTCCTTGACATCTTTATTCTTGCCTACCATATAGTGACTGCCTTCATTCTTGACATAGCCTTAATAATCGTTACTCCTGAAGACCGAAATAGTTTCTACAGATGATTCCTCTTAGCTCTATGTTGGTACTCTATGCTGTTGTTTGCTGCCTTATCTTGTTTAGAATGACTCATAAAATCCTGACAATTGTAAGACCTCCTAGGTGACTAAAAAGCATAGATAAGAGCCTTATTAAGGCCTCTCTTTGGTACTCTCATAGTATTAATCACTAGCCCATATTTCATAAAACTGGTTCACACGTTTTGTCTCCCAACGTGTTAATTCCATGAAAATACAAGAATCCTTACAGCTCATGATGATCTCAGAATCAGATGGTTACATATATACCAGACAATGTATAAATACCTCTGATAGTTGAAGAATTGACTAGCATCAAAAAGAAGAGGGAACGAATGGGGAACATGTTTTTCTGAAGTTCAAGCCAAACTTACAGGTGGAAACATTTTCCCCCATTCCCTCAACATAGCTGAGCTTTTGGACACTTCCTCTCAAGCATCTCAGGAATTTTCTTTGTCCTCAGTTTTATCACTTCTACCTCCCCACCAAATGTAAATGACATGTGGCTCTGTACACTGAGCTTGCTGACTGTAATATCTGATAACTGGTGAATTTGCTGGGCCCAAATGACTTGTGCTCTGCGTAACCAATGCAAAGTGCTTAACTCCCGCAAGCCCGCCTCCTCCCCTGAGTATAACCCGTCCTGCTCCGCCCCAAAGCGGGGGCAGTCTCTTTGTAGAGAAATCCCAGAGTGATCTGCTGGCGTTAAAAATCAAACTGCACACTTTGCCTCCCAAAAAAGGGGGCCTTCATTGCATTGCTTTCTTTTTAAGAATGCAATAGAGTTAAGAAATAAGACTCCTAGAACCTTTGTATACACTTTCTATAGAATCTGTCAGTTCCTATCTTTATATTAAAATTAAGGATGTCATAGAAAATACATGTTTAAATTTGTTAACTTCAAAGAAAATGAATAGTTTGAAAATAAAGAGAATTTCTCACTTTTTCAGTCGTTCACTTCTTCGTTTTCCACACACTACGGCGAGAGCCAGGTGGAGGCAGTCTCAGAAGTGCATCCTGTGGAAAGGCGCTGGGGGCCGACTGACCACACCTAGTTCAGTCTTTGATTCAGAGACCTTTCCGCGGGGGGGCTTCCTGGGGTGGCCTGCTCGGGTTACAGACACTGTAACTGCAGATTAGAAGGAGCGGCGCATAGACTCAGTTCTTTACGGTTGGTCGGCTTCCACTGGGTCTCGGAGGGTGCTGGCGTGACTCTGCCAATAAGCAGGTGCAGGTGGAGAGGAGGGAGATCCAAGTAGTCATGGCAACAGCTAGTGGGCAGCGAGGAAGAAGCCAGCCATGGGACATCTGGGGGAGAACACCGCCGTCTTGCCTGCCCTAAGGTTCTTAAACCACTTCATTTCCCAGCGAGCAGAGAAAGGGTCTGGCCTGGATACATCTACTCTGCCCCGAGTTTTCTGCAGATGCAGTACCATCGGAGAGCGCAGTCTGAGGAGGAAAGAGCCAAGCAGAGCCTACCTCATCCAGGTGGAGCGAGAGAAGATGCAGATGGACCTGAGTCACAAGCGGGCAGGCGTGCAGCTGGAGAAGGCAGATAGATTCAGTGCCAGGAACTACGAGCGGGAGGCTGACCGTAACCCAGAACTCCTGGCAGGCACCGGACAGCTTCAGGGGTGGGAGGCGGAGGCGGAGGAGAAGATGCGGAGCAGTAGGACAGCCTGGCCACGGCCGGCGAGACGACTGGCACCTTGAAGGGACAAGGCTCAGAGCAGCAGTGGAGCTTCATGCGCCACAGAGGGAAGATGAAGCAGCTGGAGCCTGAGAAGCAGGAACTGTGGGAGCAGCTTCACCTGGGGGAGATGATGGACACCGACGGGATGCTCACAGAGGAGCTGGGTGGGCTGCAGCTGCGGCTGGGCCAGCAGGAGAAGATACAGGAAGCTCTGATTGACCTGGAGCTGGAGAAGCAGAGGCGGCTGGCAAAGCTGCGATGCGGGCAGACCTGGACCAGAGCAGAGGTCTGAACCGCAGGATCCCAGAAGACCTTTCCAGATTCATGGTTGAGCAGCAGCAGAGAGAGCCCAGCTGACATGCCACGTATGGGAGGCCGAGGACATGGTGTAGAAGGTGCCTGCCCACAGCTCGGAGATAGAGGCTCAGGTGTCACAGGCCCTGAAGCGGCTGGGAGTCCAGAAGCAGAGAGCTGCCATGCTAGAGCTGAGCTGAAAATACTGAAGTGTCAGCCGAACTCTGCCGAGCCAAGCTTCCCGTTCTGCAGTGAAGAGGCGGACACGCTCAGATTGAAGGTCAAGGAGCTGGAGGGGGAGCAGAGCCGCCTTGTCTGACTGGTACCCAAGATGCCCTGGGGCCACCACGAGGACCTCGCTGCCTCCACACCAGATACGTCGCTGCCCATCTGTTCTTGCTAACTTCGCAGTTAAGTGCGGATTTTGCTGTCAGGGAAGTAGCTCAGTTGCTCCGCTGCCTGCCTCACAAGTGCAAGGTTCCTAGTTCCAATTCCTGGTATGGGCAGGCACCGGATCCACGCAGCTGCAGCCCAGGTCAATCACTGCCTCACACTCAGCCCTTGGAGGGCTCCCACGTCAGCTCTAGCCAGAGGCTTGGATCAGGTGCAGGGCTTCCCTTGAGGTTCTGACACAAATGCTATTCAGGTGTAACCTCTTCCCTCTTCCGCACTTCATTTTTGTCCTATGGCTCAATGCGTCAGATACGTTCTTGCTCAGTCATATGAATGATATCCGAGCTGAGAAATTTTCACAGGAAATGGCTCGTAAAGATAGTGGTCAACATGGCACTGTATATTTTATGATCAGCCCCCTTATTACTTCGATCTGGCACCGGGTCACCGCTGCAACTTCCTTATGCTGGCTTCTCTTCCAGGAGATGGTGTTGGAACATGATGGACAACCCGGACAGGCTGCAGAGGCCCAGGCCATAGATCCACGTGGAAATAAATGGTCTCCCTCCCCTCACTGTCAGACAGGAAGCAGAGGGTGGAACTGACAAAGTTGCTGCGGATGACCCAGAACTCTAGCACGGCCAGTCCCAGAGGCAGCAAGCCATTACTGTTGCTTCTGATACAGTTCCCATTTCCCTTCACCCTGAGTCTGCCCCAGACTGGAGCGGGCCACCATGCTCCCTGCCTACGACACTTCATGCCACGTATAGACATACTAGTTGCTAAATTTACTTTTATTCCTTGCTTGACTTGTCTGATGTTTACAAGATGGCTCGTCTTAGCAGCACTGGGGAAAGGTTATGTTGGCGCTCCCCTAGTAAACTTTCATAGTACTCAGAAATGTGAAGTTCTAAAATGCTGTAAATTGGATTCTATCTAGGAAATATACATGCACACAATCTTTATCTGTCCCTTATAGAACTGAAAGAAACTGGTTACACTGCCAACTATTTAAGTACTCTTAGAGCAGCTACCACTCTCAAAGAAGAGGACAGGTTTCCCCAGCACCTTCTGGTTAATCCCCTACTGAAGCTACTGGGAATGTTGGCCAGAAAGACAGCTGGAGTCCTTTCCAGAGAGAGATCTCTGGAAATGTGGAACCAGTAGTTATGGCTAGGGCAACTCCCCAGCTGGGTAACCAATGAAGAAGAAATCTCCACTTTTCTATCATCCCTATTTGTGCTTCTCAGTGAGGTGAGGAAACTCTCAGTGATTTCCTGATATCCTCTTCTCAGAGTCACCTGAGACAATGCTCTCAGAGTCCTCTCTTAAACCCCCATTAAGAGTTGAGCTACAGGCGCCAGGTGAGGTGGCACGCACTTGTAATCCCAGCACTCGGGAGGCTGAGGCAGGAGGAATGCTGCGAGTTCGAGACCAACCTGGGCTACACAGTGCATTCCAGAGCAGTCTGAACTACATAGTGAGACCCTGTCTCAAAAAACCGAGAAAAAAAAATGAGTTGAGCTACAGTTTGAACTTTTCTTTCTCTGCTTGTAAGATAGACTCCCTCTTCAGATATGTCTTGATACATTTATGGGACCAGAAATAGGTGAAAACAATAACCCTCTAGATCTGCCGAGAAAGCTTTGCTAGGAAAAAAGTCAAAGGTATGAGAGAACCCTCTCCCCAGATTTTTTTCTTTTCATTCTAACCCACAGAGTGTTAACTTTAGAACTCCTTGGCTTACTGGACCACCTTCTAAATAAAGTGCACCTCCCTCCAGGAGGTTGAGCTGAGGCAATTTACAAGCACCACCTTTAACACAGGAGAACAGCTATCAGAGGAGCGATTTACACTTGTTCCTTACAAATGCTAACTAAAGGTGAAAAAAAATTTAGTCAACCTTTCTCTTCTGTCAGATATGTGTGAGAGAGGAAAAACTGATCAATGTGCCTTTACTAACTTGTAATTTTAGATTGCTAGACAATGGGCACAGATTTAATCTGTGAATTTCTTAAGTGTATTATAGATGCCAGGAGAAACATATTTTCAGAATGGGTTTAAGTGGAACCTAGCCAATACTGCTATGGAGGGAAATTGCCTAGGTGACCGGAGAGAGAACACAAAATGACCCAGATACCACTTTGTCCTACAGCTCAGGGACAAGATTTCTTCTGAACTCTTACCTGTCTCTTTCTGTTCCCAGAGGTGACAAATCTCTTTTGCAGGCTGGGATTTTAGAACTTTTTGATTCACAGTCATTTATTGGAAGGTAAACCCCAAACAATATTGTTGTAACACTTCCAAACTATCCTTTCATTTTCTTTCTCACTCACTTTCAAAAGGTTAAAGCGCAGCCATTCAGATCCTTTAATTATTGGTTTAATTTTCTGCTTGGCAATGCAGTTGGAGTCAATCATAGCTTTTGTCTCCAGAGGCATGTTATGCTAAGGATTAGAAACTCATGCTGGGAAAGCTCTTGATCTTAATTGTTTTTCTACCCTTGAGATGGTTAGCATTTAGTTCTTGTGCCATACTTAAAGTCACTCTTCTGTCCCTTCTCCACTTCCCTGCCCCTAAGAAATAACAGTTTACAAAAGTGTTTGGTCCAAGGCAATTCTCTCCTCTGTGGCTGCTGGATTTCAGGACCAAGTTTCCAGAATGGTGAGTTTCCATTCCCCAGGACCTTTCCAAAGTGAAGTGGACCTTCACTTATCTCTGGGAGATATTCTAAAAACCCTGGTCTAGAGTTAATCCTCAAACTCTTAAAGAATAAATGTAAACATTTTAATTCAAAACTGACTGGTTTTTATACCGCCGATAAATTAACTGCTGGAACAAAAATGTTCCAAGAAATCAATCAGATAAACCTTCAGCCTAGGCTCAATATTAATTTGCTTTCACAGGTGTAAAAAATTTTATTCTTTCTGATTTTACATGAGATCTTGTTAATTGACCTATAAAAAGTTCTGATTAGTCTATAGTTACAAACTTAAAACCTGTAAAAGGGTTATTGTAATTCAAGTACATGAGATTCACTCTGGTCTATTAATAGTAGTCTTATGTGTGCCTGTCTGTCTGTTCAACTTATGACCAGTTGCAATATCTACAGCTGTTTTGTTTGAGCTCAATACGTTTTTCTTTTTGCTTTTTTGGATTTTAAAAATATTTATGTCTGCAACTTACCTTTGCTTATAGATAAGTGTCATTAGTGTTAAGGACATGCTTCCATTCAGGTTGCTAGCTGATCAAAATGATGTCAAGACCAGTTTTACAAATGCAATGCATGTTGTGGTCTGTGTACAATAACTTGGGAATCTTTCATTGGTATAGAGTAATGTGTTATTATGATGTGGTTCTCATAGGTCATCTGAAAAATTTATTTAAAATAATTAAGTGAGGACCCCTTAAGCTTGGAGAAACTGCTACACAAGACTCCCCTCGGTGAATACAGAATCAACTGCCTAGAAACATTTATTCCAGTCTTTATTCACTAAGGGGACTCCAATAATTTCCATAGCCTTATGGGAAATACACTCCAATAACATTGCTAAATGTATTATTGTAATATGATTACATTGGTTTTCAACAAAAGGTTGTTTCTTGTGGATAAAAAAAATAAAGTTTTCTTATTAAAAGATGCTTTTGGTGCAAAACTAAATTAAGAAACAAAGGTTTCCATATAGCTGTGACACTCGTTGTTGATTTCATGATATTTTAAATGTATTCATGCCTTCTGGGTGTACAGGTTTTCTAAAATGTGAAACTAGGGTTCATTATGGTGATATTTTTTTCTTTTTGACTCATGTATCTGCCTTTCTCTTGTGCTCCAGCTATTTGTGATAAAAGGTACATGTCAAGCCAGCATGAGACTACCAGTAAAATGATAGTTTCTTAAAAGCTTATATGATGTATATACTATATATTTATCACTACATTTAGAGATGCTCAGGCACTAAGCAGACCAGACAATCTCACACTTCTTTGATGATATTCTATTAAAGAATAGTAAATTAGGTGAATACTTCTTTGAGTACTAGACAGAAATTATTGACTAAAAAGTTTATTTTATACTAAGAAAGAGATTTAAATGTGTTTCAAAGATAATATGATTGTCATGATGAAATACTTTGTGTGGCTCTTGATCTCAAGTTTTCTCTGTAAAACTTTATAAATGTTGTCTATTAAATTTCTGCAGGGATTCAACTCCTAAAACAACTATGATTTGTAAGAAATAAGAGTCCTTTTGCTATACTTTATATTTTAAAGTGTTTGATATCCAAATGGTATTATAATAGTTAATCTCACTGCTCCCTATGCAATACTGATGTAATTGATCTTATCTTCTGGGTGTTCAACAACTGAAGTTTGGAGACCAGACTAGAAAGGTAACTCAGCTAAGAGGACAGCCAATATCTTGGCCCTGGCCCTCCAAGTTCAATGAGGGACCCTTTTCTACAGCATCCTACAACTTTGATAAGTCACTCAACTTCCTAAGCAGGAAGATTGCTGGACTCCAGAGAACAGGAATCAACAATGTATAGTATGACAAAAAAAAGAGGGTCACCAAAGAGGAAAAATTCCTTCCTCCTTTTACAGAAAGTA